AGATCTAAGAAAAGCCACAAGAAGAGCCGGAGAGGGAATGAGTAATGGACTCAGTTTGGGTTTAGTCCCAATGGCCTCCTTCGGATATGAAGGCATCTGTCTATGTGGAAAGATTAAAATCTACTCCCCAGGCAGCTATGAAAATATTTTAGGGTTTTTTTTAACCTAAAAGTTTCTCCACCTTTTTTTTAAATTTTTTTTTTTAATGCAAGAGGTGCTGAGTTTTGTATCTCTTTGAATCCTAATCCACGTGTTTAAGGGATAATGCTTCCCAAGGACTGCTTTTGACCCCTTTGTACAACCAGCCTTGACTGTACTCAAATTTATGAGGGTAGAAAGGATTTGAAGGGTGGAGGGTATGAGTGACAAGGAGAGGATGTGGCCACCTAGTGATCCTTTTGTTATTAAATTTGACACACCATTCTTATCTTTCTGTGGTTTGGTTTTGGTTTGCTCTGTGATTGTAATTTCTGAGAATCCTGAGATTTGTGCTGCTGCTGTTCCATTCAAAGATCAAGTTAAAACATACTAGCACCAACTTTTTTTCCCCATCAGTAGCAAGTGGTAATAAACATGAAAACTGACTGGTTAGCAGCAGCCTTGTAAGAAAAGAATGCAAACTTAAGGCTGCTTCTGGACCTTTTATTCCAGTGACATTGAACAGTTCAACAAACGGTGAAATTTAACACCTTTTCTGCAGCATTCTTATATAGTGTTTCTTCTTCCACACAACCCTTGAATTCCAGATTGAGGTATTCAGCCTTTATCCTACAAGCATTGACATTGTCTAAGTCTAGTCAGTCGTAGTAAGGCAATAAGATTGAAAAGGTTTGATGGAGAAAAAAGTATCTAATACCACTGAGGGTTTTGACTTGAACTGCTGGACAACAACGCCACTCACAAAGCCAGAAAATACAGCAGGAAGAGACCAGGCTGTAGAGGGGCAGCTAGTGAGCGTTGTGGTGGCAGTGAAAATGATGCATTCAGTTTAAAGTTTAACTTGAGACAGTTGGGGGCCAGCCGAGTGGCTCAGTTCGTTAAAAGCTCGCTCAAGAGTTTCAGCTCTGAGAAACAGCAGTTCAGTTCCTGGTCTGAGCTGGGCAGCCGCTGAGCTGCCAACAGGCGGCAGGATGGCTCAGCTTAAAAAAAAAATGAGACAGATGGAAATAGGGACTGGAGTTGAGCATAGTGATCTAAGCCCTGAAATGAAAATGTTTAGGTAATTGTGCAATATGGAGAATTAAATGAGATTGCCCAGGGATTGTGTATATGTAAGAAAAGCCAGTAACAGAATCATAGGCAACAGCAACACTGATGAGAGGACGAAGTGCAGTCACCCATTGAAAACTGAAATGAACCATTCAGAAAGGTAGAATTAGGAGAGAGTTTAAGTCTAAGAACAAAGAAGCAAAACAAAGACTAAAAAGCATCCATGGACATTATCAAGAAGCTGTTGGGATTCTTGCTAGAAAAGTTCTGTTTACCTGTACTTACCATTCCTCCTCTAAAAATGGAAAAGTGATTGAATGACTTCCTGCAGCTCTGGTCCCAGGAAGAACTGTGTGGAGAGATCCAGTTTCTTAGGAAGCCATATCTGGTCATAGGATAAACATTCTATTGCTTGCTATTGAACTGATGGATTTTTGCAGCAATATTAAACCATTTTGGAAATCATATTCAAGATTTCATATTCTTCAGTGATTCCTCTTCTGGTGATACTTCAGCTAATAAAAGTCCACAGAGCTGTTATGGTTTATCATACAATTGTATTAGGACTGCCTTTAAAAATTAAATATAAGCACTTCTATTTACATCTGTTATACTCCTAGCAGTTTTTTCTTTACCAATGATCTAGGTGAAATGTCTTTTGGCTAAAGAACCTATGGACCAATCAACTCATCATCCAGTATAATGTTAAAATAAAAATTTTAAAATACACTTTAAAAATTTTTAACCTGCCTTGAAAAACCCAAACAATTTTTAATAAGAAATAAACTTTTCCAAACATACTTATTTAGGCATATGGTGAAATCTGGACCAAAGTGGTACAACATAGTCACCATATAGCAGGAAGCAGATTGTCCCTGTTCTCTATTAGTACAAAGAGAACAGTGAGTGGGACATGATAAACATCTCTCTGGAGATCATTTTGATAAATTACAGATTGCAGAGGAGATGGAGCTTAAGGATAAACATTGCTAAAGGGCCATTTATGTCATCTATGTGCTAGCCTACTGGATGAGGCCTTGGAAGAACCATAGCTTTCTAACTTGGTGGCCTACAAAGGAACATTTTGCATCTTACCTCTACACATTCTGTACTGAAAAAAAAATTTCAGGAAAAACTTACTCCTTATGCAAAATGCCTTCTAATTTTTCCAATATAGTATCGGTTTTTAATGTTGGGTGCAAACTACTAAATAAAAAGATGCTCAACATCACCAATCATCAGGGAAATGCAAATTAAAACCACAATAATATACCACCTCAAACCTGTCAGGAATGACTGTTCATTGAACATTATTTACAACAGCCAATATATGGAAGCAACCTAAGTGTCCATCAATAGATGAATGGATAAAGATGTGGTACATATATACAATGGAATATTACTCAGCCATAAAAAAGGAATGAAATCTTGCCATTTGCAACAACATAGATGGACCTAGAGGGTATTATGTTAAGTGAAATACGTGAAAGACAAATATATGATTTCACCTATATATGGAATCTAAAAACCTAAACAAAACCATCATCATAGATAACAGAAGAAACCAATGATTGTCATATGTGGGGGAAAGGGGGAGGAGGGTTAGAGAGGGATTAAGTGCAAATTGCCAATTATAAAAATAGTCATGGAGATGTAAAATACAGCATAGGGAAAAGAGTAAATAATATTGTAACAACTATGTATGGTGCCAGAAGGTGCTGGACTTATGGTGATCATGCCATAAGATATATAAATGTCTAATCACTATGTTGTACATCTAAATATAATATTGAATGTCAACTATAATTGAAAAATAAATGATTAAACATAGCTTTACCCCATCATTTTACATATATTTTTTATATATGAAAAACTAGAAATAGCAAAAATGTCCATCTTACGGGATTGAACACATAAATTACATAGTAGATCATTAATCATATTTTTGAATAATCTTTAATAAACATACAAAACATTTCAAAATATATTGAGTGTGCGTGTGTTCTCTGCATAAGCTGAATAATTTTTGCAGTTTTCAATTGCTCTACAATGAATATGAATTCATAAAAACTTTACAGCTTCTATTGAAAGTCTGCAAACCTAAAACTGATACTACTATATAAATTTTACTACTGTATAAATTACAAACTAAGAGTCTTCAACTAGGAACAGTTTTGCCAATTATTAAACACTGGCAACTGCTGAGGGAGGGGCAAGTGAGATGCTGAAAATTACTAGATATAACACTGTCATGTAAGTAAAACCTAGGTTACTGGGGTTTACTGCCCCATAAATTCCTTCTGTCGGGTGGTATAGTACTTTCCTTTAGAAAGGAAGGCTGAGCTGGGGGCAGTCTCCTTGCAGATTGTTTTCTTAAAATTTAAATATACACAAAATTAGAATAAAATGAATACCCTGTACACCTCATAACCTGTTCATTAAGACCTGAAAGGAGATGAAATACTTGAACACTCACTTTAAAAGAAAATCTTGAATGTTCCAAATCATATTTTAACACAAAAGCATACTTTGGGCCAGGTATCTCATTAACAAGACAAATGAGCTAACTACCTTAGTAGGATTCTGAGGGGTACTGAAGCTTACAAATAAAAAACTAACAGTAAATACCTGGTTTTAACACTAATAAATACCTTTTTAGGGCTGTAAATACGGCAGGAAAGCCCTCAACCTCCTGCAATAGATTTCAAGCATCTTCCATGTTGGAAAACATGGCAAAGCCCAGGTAGTCAGCTATTTAAGTAATGCGAATCTGAGGAAGCAGAACAAAGATAATACACTGTCCATGAAACATTTCTTTTTACTTATTCTGTAGATTTCCAAAGAAGTCTGTAGCATCATTTAGCCTAAAATCCCTGGCAAATCTCTTTAATTGAGGGGTTTTGACAAAATGACTTTACCTCTATGCACAGTACCAAAAACAGCTTAAAATATCTACCATCAATTACACAAGTTTGAATTCCAATTATAATCACTGACTACACATATTATTGGTAAACACCATCTGGCAAGTATGCTTTACAGATAGTAAGTAGTAGAAGACTCAAAAGGGATAGTCTGACACATACTAGTTCCTCAGCAAACAAGACCTTCCCTCCCCTCTAAAAACCAGTATCAGTCTCAGTGTTTAAAAACTCTTCTTCAAAACATGTTTCAATTCTAATTCCAACATGTTTAAGTGTGCTACCTTAGGAATTCACTTTATTGTTTTGCACCACAGTTTTCCCAATGATAAAACGGAGATAGTATGAGCTTCTATCAACTTCACATGGGTGTTGTGAAGATCCAATAAAATAAAGGATGTAAAAAGATGCTTGGATTTCTAAAACTAAGTATGAGAGTTAGAATATTCTATTGACTGAGAGTAAAATAAATCTCTGAATTGCTACATATTTTCATCATCTAAACCAGATGAATTAACCAAATCCGACTCATCAAAAAAATTTAACTTAAAATAGAATTACTTCAAATACAAGTAAAAGCAACTTTCTGTTCAAGTGTGAATACATTTGACATACAAGAATGTAAAAAAAAAAATTCTGAATCTTCATGTTATAGTTTTATTTTATTTTATTTTATTTTTTTACCTTTTAAAAAGTTTTTGGCACTACAAGGTTCTGTAAAGAATAGAAGTGACAAATTTAAAACACATGAAAGTCTTTCCTAATTCTTAAGAACAATATATATAAAGTCTGAAGCAACCAAAGTATGAATACAGCTAATAGAAAATAAAGAATGTAATTTTTTAAATTCTCTGTTTATACAATTCATCAAGGTTAAACAAAACATAAAATTCCCTTAAAAATAGGGTAATAAAATAGATGAAATTTGTATCACTCAATTTGGTGATACTAGTAAAAACTATAGTTCATATTTATATACAAATAATACAGTCTTTAAAAACAGTCTTAGAATTTAAATAAGCTATCTAAACGTGTTAAAATTTTAAATCAGGACCTGATTTGTTTTGCTTTCCATTAAATTCACTTTTTCTGCTGAATGTAACTGACATTGAGGTACGGATACCCTTGAGACAGCAGGATTGGCTGGTTGCTGTACATCGGTAGACCAGCTGAAAGAAAATGGACTCGCATTACTCCGACACGTTTCCTCTTGGTGGGTGGGGACAACGCTCTCTACACCGACGGGTGGCACATCTGTCTGTCGGACACAACACAGACAGGAAACTGAAAGGCTTGTGCCTATTTATCTGACAACCCCTTAGAATTAACTTGTAGCTATTCTGTTTTTCTATTTATATAGTAAAGAGGTGATGAAGCATGTCAAAACATTTGGTGGGAGGGAGAAGGAGGAGGGAAGGGAAATGTATGTGAAAGAAAAAAGAAGAGACAAAAGAGAGACAGGGGAGGAATCTAGGGGAAACAAAGCCACCAGGAAAGAACTTCAGAATTTCCCCTCTAAAAGAGCTTGTATAACCAATACTAACTTCCCTCAGCCCTAGCTCTTGCTCAGAAGAAGACAGTCATAGTAAAGGTTCTGCCACTCCGTAATACACGGATGCCCCAGCACTACATGGATAGTTCAGGAAGGCCTAAATGTATCAAGCCCGACACTCATACCAGTGGCTTCCCCTAAATATTATCATTTCATTCAGTCAACATTTCCTGAGTGCATTTCTTTAACAACTTGTACTCTGACATTTAACTATAATAACTGACTCTAGTTTTTTTAATTCCTAGGGTAACCAACAGCTGACAGCCAGACTCAGACATTCCCTATTAGAATTGAGGTATCTTTGAGCCAAGTAGGCTAGATTAAAATGCTACAAGTTCCTTGGCATTCTCTTTGGTTTGTGATATTCATTACTTAGATTAAAGCCACTATTGGTATATCAGGACCAACAGAATACAATGAATTCTAATGTCATTCAAGTCTTAGTTTTGCTAAACAAATCTGAGCATGTCACTACTCAATTCAAAACTTCTATTAGATACTAACTGCTTATTAAACTGAGTCTAAACTCCTTTATAGTATGGCCTCAGCATACCTTCTCTGGTTTTATCACCTACACATCTTTCCCATTTACCTCCTCCTCTAATCCTATTCTCTTCTTTTCTCTTTTTTCCTCACTATGCCAGGTAAAACTCTTGAGACTTTGCCTATATTATTCCCTCAGCTAAGAACATTCCGCCCCTTCTTTCTAGGAAAAAAAAAATCCTGTATCTCTTTCAAGATCTAGTTAAAAATGTAAAAATCTTGTGTGATCTGATTCCTGGTATCCATATCCTGCTCTCTCTGCCAGGGCAACATTAACTGATCCTTCTAAATTTCTATTCTCATCTATTTTACAAGTCTGGCTCTCCTAATAAAATATGCATTAAAGTGTGGGAAATTAATTCTTGCTCGAACAACAAGCACCTAGCACAATCTAATACACAGCGTGCTCTCTCAATAATTGTTTACTGAATGCATGAATTTTCACTCCCGGATCCTAGCCTTCACAAACGCACCTTGTCCCAGAAAAAAACCCACTCAGCTTATTAACAAATTTGTGAGCAATGGTACCTTGAGTATAGAAAGGTTTGTTGGGCTGAAATCTGGGATTTCCCTGATGCATGAAGTTTTGATGCAAACCATAAGGCCACGAAGCTGGGAGAAGCGGAAAATGGGGACGAGGTGCATGTTCCCAAGGAATTGGAGGATTCAGTCCTGGAAAGCCTGGCTCTGCATTTCAATGAGAAAGAAAAGACATATTTTAAAACATCAGTTTGTTCATTCATATATTCCTTCATTCCATAAAGATTTATTGAGTATGACTTGCCAAGAACTATTCTATGCAGAGGATACCAAAATTTTTTTTTAAGAATCAAAAACTATAACTGTGTTCAAATTATTCATATAGGAGACATATAAGACATATACATTAATATGTGGTAACTGCTATAAAAGATCAGTGGAAGATATTCCAAAAAGGGTTGTTCAAGGATAAAGCAGGTTTTCCTAAGATGATTCTAAACTGAGTTTTAAAGTACAAGGAGCAAGTTAGGCAAAATGGGGCAAGGAGGGCATTTCAGATAAAAGGAATACCATGTACTTAAAAGCCAGGAAATAGGAAAGTATAGCAAGTTTAGGAAGCTACAAAACAACTGACAATATAGAGATGGGGATTAAAGGAGGAAGTGGTAAAAGAAAAGGTTGAATGGGTAGGTAGGATCTATATTTCAAAAAACCTTAGTACATCATTAAGGAGCTTAAATTTTTTATCCTAACGACCATGCTTACTATCCTAGAATTAATTATATCTTGGCCTGCAAAGAGATTCTATTTATTGGAAGCTGAGACACTGTGGTATAATGGTTGAGTACTAGGGCTTTGGAGCCCAACAGGTATATATTCAAATCCCAGTTCCAAAAATTACTAGGATTCAATTATGAACCTCAGACTGCTTTCAGGATTAAATAAAGTAACAAAAATAAAAGTGGCTTCCATAAGTTCTGGCATGTAAGAAAGAATTTAAAAAATATGACTCCTATTCATTCTATGGCAAACTAAGCCCCCCCACCCCAATCTACTTCCCTTTAAGATGATCTTTAAATACATCTTTCAAAGTATAGTACCCCCTGAATATTCTCGATAATTTTTGGTGGTTTTTATCATTCTAGGTCACAAAGTGGCAAGAAATAATCTGAAACACACTGCCTTTATTCATTAACCTTCCTAATCAGAACTCAAATTAGGAGGTATGGAGTAAGGAGTAGGGAGCAAGAAAACTAAACCTATACTAGCAGCATTCTTATAAGCTCAGTCTTCTCAGGAAGTAACCAGGAAAACAAAGCAGCTGGTTTACCACAAGTTAATCAAGCCAAATTACAACTAAAAGCTGAAGCTGCAGGGCTCAGCTTACAAAAAATAACTGAGACTAGATATATATACTCAGGTCCTGACCAATTGAGAAATGATGTTTTAACATAAAAGGGTATGTTTTTTAAGACTATATTCCAATCTCCCTTGGCCAATTTTCACAACCAAATATTTTTATAATACAAGTAATACAAACTCATTAAAGATAAATTCAAAACTGAGGAAAAAACTCATACAACCTCCTACTCTAATACAACCACTATTATCGTTTTAGTATGTTCCCATCCAGTCCTTCCATTTTTTTTTTTTTTAAATTTTTATTGGGGAATTAGGGGATGGGAACAGCGCTGGGGAATTGGGGGAAGGGGAAAAGACAAGTTGCTATCCTTTTGTTCTTCAGTCTAGTTGTGGAGGACGTCACATCACTGGCCCAAGTTGGCACCATCATTGCGCTCTTCCCGGGTGAGGCAGATCAATCGCCGGATTCTGGACAGCCACTCACGGCGGCTGCTGGCCGCTCCTGCTGGCTGCCGGCTACACACGGTAGCCCATGGCAACCCACTGCCACAGGGGCTGCAGCCTACGCCGTCGCCGGTGACTCACGACAACCCAGCTCCAGGTGGAGCTGTTGTTCAGCATTTTAGCTGTAGAGGGCAGTGTCCCTGGCCCTCATATGTGGGATCCGAACCGAGGCCCTCTGGCGTCCCAAGCCAGCTCTTAACCAACTGGCCACTCGGCCAGCCCCAGTCCTTCCATTTTTAACATAATGGTAACTTTAGATGTAATATTAACTAGAATTTATACACCCATTCAACAAATCATAAATATTTACTGAGTAATAGTTTATTATATAATATTATATGAATTATATCTACCATACATCAAGCACTATACTGGACACTAGGGAGACAACAACAGACAAGAAACAATTCACAGCCTCTAAAAGTTCAGTCTAATGGGTTTTACAGACAAGTAAATAGACAATTTCAACACAGTAAGAAAAGTATTATGATATGGATATTAAGGAAACATGAAGGGAAAAAAAATCTAATACATTTAGAAAACAGATTAAGCAAGAGTTAAAGGCTTCCTGAAGAAAGTGATCAAAATTTTAAAATGGAGGATGTGTGAGTTAGCCAAGCTTTGGAGCAAAGCAGGAGGTGAGCGTAAGTGGAAAAAGTAACAGAGAGGATATTCCAGGCAGAGCAAACAACTTAGGTAAATAATCAGGGGTAAGAGACAATACTCCAGTTTGTGAAATGTTAATTATTAGTTCATTAAGGCTAAAACAGAGATCAACTAGTGGTGAAGAGAGGGAGAACTTAAACTGTAAAAACTAAACCAAAATAACAAAGGGAAAAACACTGGGTCTATCTTCATGGTTCATATGACTCAATGACTATCATGATGCATGTCATGGCATATACGCAATAAACATCTGTTGATGAGAGAAAAAGCTACATTATAATGGCCACGTGTGCCATATATCCTGTGATCTAAGAAATCTGAGTTCCCACATTCTGGCATTTCTGCTCAGCAAAATACATTATCTGTATTGTTCCAAAAGAGGTCTGAGATACCTCCTCCATCAGTGCTCTAAGTAATAGCATACTTTTGTTTAAAATTATCACTAAAATTTTTTTGAAAATTGATAAAGGGAAGAAATCAAGCTTTTAAATCTACATTTCCTACATAAATTATATTTCAGGGTAACCAAGTAGTTAATAAGGAAAAGTCCTTCTTTATAGAAAAATCACAAATAGTATTAAAAAACCATTATTTTACAGCCCCTAGTAAAATAATGGATAGTAACAATAATTACCAATGGTGGCTAAGACTATTACATAAAAATTAATGAGGAATTTGATAATGGATAGAACAGGCTGACATCACCTAACTTATTGATCTTTTTTTTTTTTTTTTTAGCTGAGCCATCCTGCCACCTGTTGGCAGCTCAGCAGCAGCTCAGCTCGGGCCAGGCATAGAACTGCTGTTGCTCAGAGCTCAAGCTCTTGAGTGAGTTCTTAACCAACTGAGCCACTCAGCCGGCACATTATTGATCAATCTTAAGTCACTAAAAGAGGAACAACCAATCAGTTCCCTCTGAAGTGCAAGAATAGGAAACATACAGGACCAATCAAGAAGTAAGGTTCTTGCCACCACCAGCAACAAAAAAATCTTAAATCTAATCCAGCCTCTGGACCTATCAGTTTACAGGAAATATGGTGACAGAGGTGTATGTTAAACAATGCCATAATCAGCCAATGCCAGAATGTGGGAAGCTCTCCAGTTTCTTCAATAAATAGTTAATATGGGGAAGAAAATAGTGAGGGGGAACTGTTATAAATTAAATGAGAGTTAAGAGATCTAATAATCACATACAATGAATGGGCTTTGTTTGAATATAGATTCAAATAAATCAGTAACAACAATTTTAGAGAAATAGGGAAAAAGAAATAAGGGCTGGATATTAGATGATCCTGGGTATGGTAATAGTTTTGATTGTTTTTAAAAGATTAAAGTTTATAAGCAAATTTGATCCAATATCTCAGATTTGATTAAATACTCAAGCCATTTTTTTAATGGGATGAAGGGCTCAGATAAAAGAATATCAAATATTGAAAACTATTAAAACTGGGTAATAAGGGGGGTCATTATACTTTACTCTCTCCTTTTGTGTACATTTCAATTTTCCATAATAGTTTTTAAAATAAAAATAATTATCACTAAAACACTGGATATAAAACTACATTTGTGGTATATATGAACAATTTCTAAATATGCAAATATAAGAAAATGACTATATGGTAGTACACCAAAATATTACTTAGCAATTATGTTTAGCAATTAAGAATACAGATGATTTCCTTTTTCTTTTTCAAATGTTCTATAATGAATACCTATTACTTAAATATCAGAAAAAAACTATTTTTTTAATGCTATAAAAGTGTTACCAATATCTTTTTCTGTTTAAATAATTACTCCTTACTGGGAGATAATAAGAGTCTAGGGCAAAGAACACAGGTTTTGAAGAAAAAAATTGGATTAAATCTTGGATCTACTATGATTAATTCTGACAGCATGATAGTTAAGTTACTTAACCCTTCAATTTCCTTAAATGTAAAATGAGTGCTAATAATATCTATACAAAGAAGGACTGCAGTGGAAATTTAAAATAAAATAACTAACATTTTATTACCTCACTGGTATATTACCTCACTGGATATTCACAATATCCCTGTGAGTTAGATGTGATTAATATCCCTATTTAACAGATGAAACCAATGCAAAAAGAGATTAAGCAACTGCCCAAAGCCACGCAACAAATGGTGGTGTCAGGATTCAAATCCAGGCAGTCTGAATTCACAGCCCATACTCTTTACCTTTATCTAATCCTATAATGCTCTTCCACAAATACTGCTTGCCATCCTTTCTTCACATTTATTTCCCCAGGTTCAACCAATAACTGAATCACCCAACCCTTCTATAGACAGACAGATACAAAAGAAAAGTAAGGGTTACCCGAATTCCCCACTGTACCGTTGTTCACCAGGGAATTTGGAGCCACAGTACGAGGCCAGTGTCCATCATGAGAGGAACTAGGGATCGCCACAGGTCTGGCAGCAGGCTGCGCAAAGATGATGCTGGGATCATTCAGGCCAATATTGCTGGGGGCACTGCCTGGTGCAGAGTGGATCACTGGGCCATGGATAGGCCAGGATGGGGCAGGGATCTGAAGGGGGTGCATTGGCAACAATCCCATATTGTGCATGGGAGAATACTGAGCGGTTGGTGACTGGGGAAAGTTATACATAGGCATCTGGACCTGATGGGGGGGCTGGGCTCCCTGCTGAGGTGGGCCAAGCTTGGGTTGGGATCCTGGCTGGGATGGAGGCTGGGTAATGGCAGTTGATTGGGAAGAATTCTGTGGAAATGGCTGGGGCTGAGGAGAATAAGATGGTGAATCGGACTGCAGAGAAAAAAAGATACATTTTGAAATTAACTTATAAACATCTTAATTTTATAAAAGCAGAGATAACTAAAATACAGAATTATGGTATTATTTCATTAGAATATAAACAAACACTATGATGTACATAAGAATAACAGAACTGCATTTTACATGAAGGTAGAATTTTTCCCAAGGCCCTCAAACCCTCTATCACATAGGTATTACCTCATAAACCTTTTTAATGACTAAAGTAGAAAGAGACCAGACATCATTCCCATCAGGTAAAACCCACATTTCCAATTTGCAACTAGAAACTTACATCTAAGTATCTTACAGTCACTTTCATTCAGCCACTCAACATGTATTTACTGAGTGTCAATTATGTACTGGGCATTGTTTTAGAAATTAAAAATACAATACTAAATGTATCCCCTCATGGAGCTTAAAGTTTGCAGGGGAAAAGAAGAGGAGCAGATAACAATTACATAAGCAATCACAATAAAATACAATGATTACTATGATAAAGAATGTAATAATGTATAGTATATAATGAAATCACAAAGCATGAACACCTAAACCCACCCTGGGAGGAGCAAAGATGAAACAAAGAGAAAATCAAGGAAAGCTTCCTGGAGGAAATGACCCTTAAGCTGAGACTAAAGGGTAAATAGAAAAAGAGTCTGATAAGGAAGCAGGCTCTCTGAAGTTAAGGAGCTTGCTCATAGATATAAACCCAGATCTAGTAATGCTCTTTCCACCTCATATGCTTAGCAAGGACACCTCTACAAAGCACTGTGTAATCTGGAAAATAGTATTTGCCAGTCTGAAAAATCACCCTATTACCACCCAAAATAGTGCTGTCTTCTGCCCAAACTAACCTATTTGCAGGCAGAATACTTACACATTCTGAAGACTGTCTAGTCCTTATGGACTGATCACCCTGTTGCTGGGACGAACCAGCCACTTGTTGGGCATTTACAAGGTTGCGGACTAGCTGGGCTGCTAAGGGAAGAGATCACAAAGAAAATCAACAGATAAAAAAAAAAAAAAAGCAGAGAAATGACAATCAAACTCCCTTCTGCAAGGGTCTCAAATCTCTCTGAGATTTTATAAACTTGGACTTTTAAACTATGATTATGTTAACAAAGGACTTGCAAAAACTCATTTTTAAAAACTCATTTTTCAATCCTGATCATTAAAAAAATATACTGGTTCTAGAAACAAGAACAAATACCTTTTGGTGTGCATTTCTAAAGGAGACAATATATTTAAGAAAATACCTTCTGCAATAAAAATCTGAATAACTGAAAATCATCACTTCTCAAATATTCTATTTTTTCCTTTTAATAAACTCTCATTTGGGTTTCTACTTCTTAAAATTCTTTATGAAATATAAAAGGAACAGATCTCCCTCTCTCATAACAAGTTTATTCTGTTCCCAGAAAAAACCTCTCATTAATATGTTAACTTTACGTAGCGAGAGAAATAGTGTGACTCAAATCTAAAGAATACTTAAAGGGAGTTGAATGAATACAACTGACTGCTAAGGCCTCGATAGTGAACATATCCAAGTATTGTTCAAAATAAAAGCCTGTCAGCCAGCCGAGTGGCTCCGTTGGTTAAGGGTTCGCTCAAGAGTGTGAGCTCTGGGCAACAGAGTCGCTGGTTTGATTCATGGCCGGAGCTGAGCTGCCAACAGGCGGCAGGATGGCTTAGCTAAAATAAATAAATAAATAAAAGCCTGTCTAAATCTGATCACTTGAAGAAATTATAAAGTCCAAAATCATACAGCTAGGTTTGGAATGGAGAGGAATTAGGGTCCTTAGAATGGCATCAACATAAATTACTTTATTTCCACCAGAAACTATTTTTAACCTTTTTAATTTACCTGCCACACTGCTATTCCTCTGACGGGCCAGCTTGACTTCTGGGCACTCCCTTCGTACATGTCCTGCATCTCCACATATAAAACATCTGAGGTCTCTGGGGTCTCTAAAGTCTCGAGTATCGTGGAGGTCTCGGGGGTCAAGAAGGTCTCTGGAGTCTTTTTCCTCTTCATTCCCTTCCTTCTCTTCTTCACTGTCTTTCTTCTTTAGTCTAAACAGTAAACTGCTGATACCAATAATGTGGGGCTAGGGACTTGTAAACTGAGTGAGCCACAGAACAAACTAAACTACACAAGAGTCTCACAATTAAAGAAACTATGTAACATGCCCACGTTTCATGCATCTTTTTGAAAGCAAGGAAACACACATTTATAGCACACCTACTCATATGGCAAAAACTGGTATTCTGGTAGCTTTATAATAAAATATAAACATTTTCTAATATTTAATTTTAATGTTGTAGCAATCCTTACTGGTTGGTATTTATTATCTTCATTTTACAGGGGAAGAAACTGGGGCTTAGAAAAGGTAAGTGTCTTGCCAAAATTTAATAGACAGTAAATAGTAGCGATATAAACTAGGAGTTTGTTCTGTCTGAAAAGTTCTAAGCTCTTTATAATAGACAAGATTTGATGACTAAAGAAGGTGTTTTTCTGGCCTATTAAACAGAGCATATACATAAAACACAGGAAAATATATTTCATAGATATATTTTCAGAGGGTATACAGAATGCATATTCCTCAAGGTATGTATTATATCGGTATACCTCATAGTATATACCTCAAAGATTAGATTACATTTTAATTATTTGTTTGCATGACTGAGGTCGTCAGCAAGAACCTCATGTCTTGGTAATTTTTTCCTCAGTTCCCAGCATACAGTAGGTGTCAATAAATGCTTCTTCAATTAAAAAAAAACTGAATAAATTAATGAATGAACAAATGAACATTATAAGACATCATTGCATCACAAAAAATCTTACTCTATTCCAAAATTTCACTAAGGTTAAATTTAAAGCCCTGAATTTTCCCATATAGCCATATCTGAACACAATTATAGCTACAATTGGCCTCATATTTATTTTCCCTGTAATGTTGATACAAAATCATTTGCCAACCTTCTCCTTTTAGGGCAGTCTTTCATGTAGTGGCCTATTTTTCCACACACACGGCAACATCGATCATTGGGAGCCAGTTCTCCATCTGTTAATACTCTGGAATCAAAGAAGTACTCCTAGGGAAAAAATACAACTTTACTAGAAAAAAAAATCACTATAAACTTTTGAATTCAAATGGAAAGGAGATCAAGATGCAAAAGTGGTTCTTAAAAAAGTAAATAAATATCAACAAATATTTCACTGTAACTAAAATAAAACCATGATATGAAAATAAGATTCAGAATTATCACCATCAATATCTGTTACTAACCACTTTTACATCATGTCATTTTCTCATTCATTTGTAGCATCTTCACATAATATCTTAACATAGTAGATATTATTTTCATCCTCATTTTATACATGAAGAAACTGAGGCTCAGAAAAGTCATTTGCCCACAGTAAAAAAACTGATAAGCAGCACATAAAGGATTTAAAGCTAAGTTTGTCTGACTACAAAGCTCATGCTTATTGCTACACCAGGTTACTTTTGGAAAAGAATTATTCTCTGTACACAAGAGCTCTATGTAAATAAAACAATCTTCTGGTTTATTTAAAATATGACCGGATGTGCATACAAAATTTCAAGAACATATAACATTTATTGTATTAAGTAAGGTATGCCTAAAGAGAAGGTAAGGAAGTTGGGGTTATCATTTTGTGAGGGGTGTAAATGTCTAATCATTGTTTTGTGCACCTGAAACAAAAAAAAATAAATAAAAATAAAAATAAAAAAAATAAAGAGAAAGATGGTAAGGAAGCAATAAGAAGTAAATCATTTTCCCAAGTCTTAGAAGAACCAGGCTCATTTTTGCTTTATGCTAGTACCTTGCATTATCCTTCTAAGTTTTAGCTCTGTTTTGCACAATCACAAAGACTAGTTTGTCCTAACAGTACCAGTATCTTTGGAAGGCAAGAGAACATGTTGACTTAATGTTCTACAAATCTTTCTAAAGTCAAGGATGAAAGAATAAGAGACACGCCCACTAGGATGGCTATAATAATAATTTTAAAAACAATAACAAGTATTGGTGAGGATGTACAATAGAAAAACTGATACCCAAATATATTGCTGGTGGGCACATACAATAGCACAGCTGCTTTAGAAAACAATCTGGCAGCTGCTAAGAAAGTTAACATAAATTTGTCAAAATGACCCAGTAATTCCACTATTAGGTACACACCCCCTTAAAATGAAAACGTACATCCACACAAAAATTTGTACATAAATATTCACAGCAGAATTACTCATAATAGCCAAAAAGAAGAAAAAACCCAAATGTTTAACAAGTGATGAATAAATAAAACGTAACATATCCATTCAACAGAATATTGTTCAACCATAGAAGGGAATGAAGTTCTAATACATGCTACAACATGAACAAACCCTGAAAACATACTAAATGAAGGATCTCAATAACAAAAGGCTACATATTCTATGATTCCATTTATATGAAATATCTACAGAGACAAAAAGTAGATTAGTGATTTGAGGAGTGGGAGGTATTAGGAATGAGGATTGACTGCTAATGGGGACAGAGGTTTCCTTGAGAGAGGAGAAAACCATTTTAAAATTAGATTGTGGTAATGGTTACAAAATCCTGCAAATATATTAGAAATCACTGACTTGCTCATTTTATATGGGTCAACTGTAAAATATGTAAATTGTATCTCAAAAAAGCTGTCTTTCTTAAAAAGGATAAGCAATATAATTCTTCACACTTACTTCTAATGGAATCAATGTAGCTAAATAAAATCATCATCATATTTTCTTCAGGACAAAATGAAGGCCTTTCTCAATTTACCTAGTTACTTAAGGCAGAAACCTAGGAATCATTCTGAACTTGTTCTTCTTTACCTATCTCCTCTAATTCATCACCAAATTGTATCTATTCTATTCCTGAAACTTTTATCCACTTTTCTCCATCCCACCATCCCAGCTAAAGTGGCCTAAACCTGGGGTTAGCAACTTTTCTACAAAGAGCCAGATAGTAAATAATTTAGGTATTGTGGCAAAATTGAAGATACTATGTAGGTAGATACTTATAAGAGAGAAAACAAATTTCCACAAATTTTTTACTAAAGAATTGCAAAATATACTAACAATAATTGAATATAAGTTTTTTTGTAATACAAGTTTACTAATCAGAAGGAATTCTTTCTGAGGGAGACATTTCTCTTAATTGAGTTCATAATGTTTCCTATCATTAAAATCAATGGCAAATATTCATCTGTTAATGCTAATCTGCAATTACATTTTATGTATTTCATCTTTGAAAATGTTTTGTTCAAAAAATGTTTTGAGGGCCGACCGAGTGGCGCGATGGTTAAGAACTCGCTTGGGATGCCAGAGGGCCCCGGTTCGGATCCCACATATGAGGGCCAGTGACACTGCCCTCC